CAGTCAGAGCTAGGCAATCCCCCGTTCGAAGGTGGTGATTGGTTCGTCCACCGCGCCTTTTTGGATGTCCAAGAATTTAACTTTGCCCACTGGTGGTGGTCTATCTACCAACCACTATGAACTACAAGTCAAAACTTGATTTATTGATTTTTTTAGTGTGATAGAATTCAGAAATCAGTATGAAAGTTGCGGTCAATTATTAAATTATTATTATTCATGATGAAATCCTCCAACCAATCAAACAAAAATCCCTACAAAACCAATACTTGAAAATTGACCTGATGCTCGCTAGCGACTGGCCCTATTCAAGCAGTTAACCTGGGGTTCCAGTGAGAAGCCGTGACCAGTAGGGTGGAGCAGGTTGAAGGTGAGGCAGTAACTCATCGAAGAAGACATTGCGAAGTGGTCACACTATGTCATGAGTGAATTGGCAGAAGTTAGAATTCATGGGCTGGCTGGGTCCCAGTGGCTTAATGGTCTACGAGCTAGCTGGCCTTGTAACCAGAAGGTTCTGGGTTCGAACCCTAGTGGTGGGTGCGTACTGGTGAAGAGTCGGTCCCAAACTGGGCTGACGAAACAGCTGGCTGTCCAGTACTCCTAGGTGGTTTTCCAATGGTTCTCTAACTGATGTCAGCTCATCATGAAATCCTCCAACCAACCAAACAAAATCCGTACAAAACCAGTACTTGAAAATTATTGAAGTTTTTTTTAACTAAATGAATGTTATTTTTATGTCTTTTCTCTATCTCTCCTTCGAAAGAAGTTCTTCCCCCCTCCTCTTTAAAAATCAATTGTATATTGAATAGAATAACTTTATTGTAAGTGTGTTTGTTTGTCAAAGTTTCCGGCACACATGTTGTGTCAAGCTGTTATCCTTCCTTCTTCCTTTTTTGACTTGTTGTTTCATCTTATCGATTTTTGTTTTCGTTGGTTTGTTCCGTTGTGTTCTATTTTAAAAAATATATTTCGGACAGTAAGTGACTTATGGTATGTCGACTGTCTTCCTCGTATTCCTCTCCATTTTGTGGTTAGTTACTCTTGTTTTGGATTGACAAGACTCCCATTTTATGCATTCCTCCCCTCTGTCCCCCCCAACCCAACGACCTGGTACAAACGAGTGAGGGTGGGTAGACTCCGGTCTCCATTTCATTTGGCGACGCATTCATTGCCTACCTCTGTCTGGTAAGGTCTATTCACTGCATTCACACGATAGAGGCTGTTCTTCACAAAAGTGGAGGGGCGAATGCGAAGGTCTGGTGCCCTTACAACTAGACGGGTGAACATCCAGGTCTATCTACCTAGGGAGCAGAGCTGGAAAACCCTGCTTCCAAACCTATGTGGTATACCCATGGGCTCCAGAGTCCGAAAGAATGGAATGGCATATGAACCTGTGTTGGACACTGGAAACCATGGGAACCTAGCCCTTGATTATTTCTTTAAGTTTAAGGCTCGGGGGCTGGGACTGGGTGGTCCCTTAAGACAATCATCCACTTTGGTCTGGGCGCTTGAGCAGTATTCCAGCCCTCATACAAACTATGAGGGGCAATTAAGCATGTATGCTTGACTTGTGTAGTTTCTAAATATTATTCTGTATGGTTTAAGCGTAATCGGGGTGGGGGATAAACAGGGTCTGTTGGTAGTAGGTCTTTGTGTCAGCTCCCCCCACCCGAGCCCACTGTCTTATAGATACTGAGCATAAAGCTGAGGTTAATGATAATAATTTGCTTTATTCCAAAACACAGGACTGGACTACATTGATTCGTAGCTTAGAAATAGGTAGTGAAGTGGTAGAACGCGTTGACCGTTTCACTTATTTGGAAGTTGCATCAGCCAGTGCCAACGGGTTGATCGCTAACGAAGTCTCATCACTGATACAGAAGGCTAATTTCGCATATGCCAATTTACGCCGTCTGGCGTAGACGTGATATCCGGCTGGCTGTCGACCAAAGGGCGTGTGTACTGATCAGCAGTACGTTCCGTCCTCCTCTATGGTGGTGAGACCTGGCCACTGAGAGTGGAAGACATGATACGCCTGGCTAGCTGTCTTTGATCATAGGTGCCTGCGTTCTATCTCCCTTGTGAGGTAGTAGGTGTAATAAGGTGAGTAATATTGAGGTTAAGCATAGGTTGAGTGCTAGGTAATGAGGGAGGGAAAATAAATAGACGAGGCTATGCAGCTACATCGACTAAGATGGTTTGGGCACGTGGTATACGTGCACGCTTAGCCATCGATCGCCTTCCGCGACGGACAATGTTAGCTGACATAGGGTCAGGCTGAAAAAGAGCTAGTGGTGTGTGATCAAACCAAAACATGGCCTCATCAGTCAATGAAATCCACAACAGTTAGTTTGAGTCAGCCAGCAGTCACGTAGGGAGGGGTAGACTTTCTGGTTGACGGTCCTCGAGACGGTAAACAACAATGGTTGGAGACAATTGGTGATATGGCTGGCTCAAAATCCTCATTCTCAATGGCTGGTGCAGATGCATCCACTCTTCATGACTTATAATGCCCAATGAAACTATATTATTCTTCCATATTACTATTCTTTTTGCCTTATATCTCTGTTTAATGTCTTTATTTTGCATTTCTTTTTACTTTCTTCTCTTGCTTATGTGCTACGTGAAGGGAGTGTGGTGACTCGACTACTGCACATCGGCGCAAAGTTCTGTGTTGAAACCAGTCAGTCATTTGGCCGGTTAGGGCAGTAGTATTGGCTGGGTGGACTTGTTTCTTTTGCACACAAACCACTGGTCGTTTGAGGCGAATTCCAGTAGCCTCTGCTGCTTGGAGCATGTGGTGCTTCGATGTTTTGACAATTTATCAGGCACCCGGTAGATGATAGAGAAGGATTCTTCAATGCTGGCTGGCTTTGTGGTCGACCAGTTTGCACCAGATGGTCCAATATCGAACTGTTAATAGTTTTCACTATACCTTTACTTAGCCATACTGGGAGATGTTCTCGAGAGAGCACGAAAAATCAAGTTCCCAGAGCAACAGCCAATATAACTCCGCCCCACTACAATTGCAGCTGAATTGGCAGATACAATTGTAAGGGGCTAGCTAGTCTAGGTACTTCATCTTTCAGTCGAGGAATCACCATCGGTCGTGTAGTTCTCCAGCATTAAAAGTTCTTTGAACTGAAGTTAGTAGTCTGACATTTAGAGGGATCCAACGTAATACCATTTAGCTTAAACCATTGGTTTATATCAGACACAAAAAGGTATGAAGTTTCGAATAAAGCATTCGCCTGTCGTATTCTGACGAATCTTAATTTTTGCTTTACGAGTTCATCTTCTACATACCAAGCTTGAAGTCATTGAAATCCACCTGAACAAGTCAAACTTCTGTGTGTGTGTGTGTGTGTGTTCGTGTTCGGAAGGAATTCGTGCAGACACGCTTAACCTTGGTCCTCCTAGCCATCATTATTTGTCAATAGAAATCTGTCAATTTCACCCTTCGTCTAAACCATTTATTTACAAATTAATTATTGTTTCAACTATTACATATTAAAACAATTAGTCCCTCTGATAAATTTGAATCAGGTATTTATAAGACAAATTTCGCGAGATGATATCATTTCATAGTTTCTTTACAATCGAATAACAAACTCGGTTTCCTGGATATTACTATGACTAGGAGAGATGATGGAACGATTCAACGATGTATTTTTCGTAAACAGACATGGAGTGGAGAATATCTTAATTTTTACCAGTTTTGTTCCTATCCAGTATAAACGTCCCCTAGTGAAATGTTTGTTCTCAAGGGCCCGAAAAATATGCACGAGTGACACATTGATGGATGAGTTTCGAAATATACATTCAGTTTTATTAGCTAATGGTTATCCAGAAAATTTTATTAATTGTCACAGTAAGGATAGACCAACCACATCTTGAAAAGGCAGCTTCTGTACCAAAAGAAGCTATCTTTATTAACCTACCATTCAAGAACGATTAGATTATGCAGTTGACAGCTAACTCAAAGACTTCGGTCAACCATCAAACGCACATTTTACGCCGCATCTCTTTTTCCCATATGCCGAACATTTTCGATCCCTGTACCTACGACTAAAGGACGAAATTCTATGGACTCTACTTCAAACTGTATCTACAAGTTCACCTGCAGCTGCGGTGACACCTATATAGGTAGAACCAACAGAATGTTCAAATGTCGTTGAATAGAACATGTTCCAAAATGGCTACTAAATCAAATAGAAAATCCCAACGCAATTAATCTGAATAGAAATCCAGCATCATCTATTGCTTATCAATGTCTGGTCACAAAATCAATCAATATTAATGACTGTTTCACAATTATTTCGTCACATAACTCTAATTCAAGGTTGGTTATTGAAGGTGATGGAAGCACTTTGGATTCATCACATACACCCTAAACCGTGTGTACAAAAAACAACAATAGACTTCAACCTTCGCCTAACCATGGCGAGTATACTTGACCTATTTAGAAATATGATTGGTCATTAGTATGCACTTTTGTGTTTTTTTTATTTAACTGAGTAATTGTCATGCACTGTATTTTATTTTATTATTGTTAACCATGTTAGTTGTAAAGCGGTTGTAAAGAAACTACGAAATGACGATATTATCTCGCGAAATTTGGCTTCTTAATAATAGGCAGGAAGAAATGGAGATGGATTGGCTGGCCATACTCTGAGGAAACCAGCAAGTGACATCACTAGACAAGCCCTCGAGTGGAACCCGAAAGGGAAGCGACGAGTTGGTCGTCCAAGGGTGACCTGGAGGAGATCATGTGAAGAAGAATTGAAAGCGTATGGGCAGACTTGGAGCCAGGTGAAAACTCTAGCAGAGAACCGACCGCAATGGAGACGCATGGCTGAAGCCCTATGTTCCTCTAGGAACTAAAGGAAATAATAATAATAATATAATAAATTAATAATGCCTTATTCAACTATTATATATTAATTAGTATTATTATTCTACCCTTTATTTGTGTTGTATTACTTTTTTTTAAATATCTTTAGGAGTTCTCTGTTCTCCTGATATGCACCTTCTTTTGGTTTATAACATTAATTGTTGCATCAGCAAATCATTATAAAGGCAATGGAGCGATTGCAGCAGCTGTAAGTTGGTTGTTTACAGTATATTGTGTTAATTTGATGTGTTGTTACATCCTATACCTGACGTTCACTGTGCTTTTATGTCGCGGTGGTGGGTTTAGCGCTAGATGATTGCTTGCTTGTCAGCAACACCTAAAACAGTCGTGCTGGCTTTAATTCCTGACTGGTGATGCATTCCTCAATGTCACCTAGCCGGTTACAAAGCTGGAGAAGAGGAGGGAAGGTTTGGCCGTGAGGCTAGTTACTGCCAATTGATTCTTAGCATCCCTAGGGACCCCAATCAGGAAGTCTGCACCTCGCTTCATGGCTCTAATTAACTGTCAAGGTCTTCATGGACTTTAAAACAAGCAACAAAGCTTAATAAGGCAGAATTTAATGAATTCATCAAACTGACGAGGATATCAAAGCAAGAGAAACTTTCACTACTCTCAAGCCTGTGTGGAGGTCAACAGCACTCAACATCAAAAATAAGATCCGGATTTTCAACTCCAATGTGAAGTCAGTCAGCGCTACTATACGGATCAGAGACTTGGCCAGGGAGTCATAAAGAGCATCTCAAAAAAGCTACAGACCTTCATCAACAGCTGTCTTCGCTCAATACTCAAGATGAGATGGCCAGCCAGAAAAGATCAGCAACAGAGATCTCTGAAAGAGCGAACCAACCAGGAACCGATTGTGAAACAAATAGGCAGGAGGAAATTGAGATGGATTGGCTGGTTATACTCTGAGGAAACCATCAAGTGACATCACTAGACAAGCCATTGCTCGAGTGGAACCCGAGCGAGTTGGTCGTCCAAGGGTGATTGTCTGTCTGGATTCACCATAGAACTTGGCACCGAAGTGCAGCAGTTCCAGTTGCCGCGTTCCAAAGAGCATACAAAGGTAGACAAGAAAATGAGTGAAGAGAATCAGTGGAGTTTTAACAGGTATAAGAGTGAAACAGAATGAGTAATGGTAGAAAGGAATATGAAGGTTAAAGAGACTGAATACATCTGCGTAAGCCATTGACAACGATTTTGAGCCATGTCACCTATTGTCTCCAGCCATTGATTCTTAGAGTCCCGAGGGCGGGCCCCAACCCGGAAGTCTGCATCTCCCTACCTGACTCAGTTTAACTGTCAAGGATGACTTGGAGGAGGTCATGTGAAGAGGAGATGAAAACGTGTGGGCAGACTTGGAGGCAGGTGAAGACTCTAGCAGAGAACAGAACGCAATGGAGACGCACGGCTGAAGCCCTATGTTCCTCTAGGAATTAAAGGAAACAATAATAATATTAATAAATCAAACTATGGTACAACTCCTCTTCAGCTGAATACTCTACATACAGAGAGCGATGTAAAATTAATATAAAATGCATTGTACATTTCAATTATACTACTTAACTTGTTGATATTAGATGGTTGGAGGAAATCAATCACAGGAAACCGCTTTGCTTGACCTGACTGCAGGTAGCACTGGATGACGTGGGTCCGAACATGACATCTTTCAAGATTGTAGATATACACCTTGTTGATTAGTGAGTGCCAGTTAACTAGCACGAAACCTGAGTCAAGCAAGGCGGCTTCTTGTGTCCGATTACCTCCAACCATACATAACATCAATAATTCAAAGTACACCGTGTTGGTGAGTCAGCCACATAGAGAATAGTGTCCACACTGATAGAATTCATTTGTCTGTCCTCCCGATTACGTAATTCAGTCACCATATATCACGATTACGCATACATTACTTCGATTAACCTCCATATACGGTGTGTGTGCTTGTGTTTTATCTCTCATGCTAGATGGTCGTACAATAGGATGAGTAGTACTATTGGGGTTAGGCGTCAGTCGAGTGTTAGATAAGTTACGGACTGTTATTCTACCACAGTGCACAAGTTTTATTCTTATATCAAGGTCCGGACTTATTGGCAACGAAATCTCAGCACGGACCCAAAGAGCTCGAGCTGCTTTCGCTAACTTACACCATCTCTGGTGGATGTAGGCGTGACATCCGGCTATCAACCAAGGGACTTGTGTACTGCTCAGCAGTTCGCTCCGTCCTTCTATATGGCTCTGAAACATGGCCAATACGAGTTGAAGGCATGAAAAGGTTGACTGTTTTTGATCATAGATGTCTAGGATCTCTTTCTCACGTTAAGTGGTATAATGAGGTAAGTAATGTTGACGTTAGGCGCAGAGTGTTGGGCAGAGAGGGAAAATCAATCGACGAGGTTATAAAGTTACATAGATTGAGATGGTTAGGTCACGTGCTGCGAATGCCTAGCCATCGCCTCCCCCGACGGGCATTACTAGGTGATATATAGGTGCAGGTTGGAAAAGAGTAAGTGGTGGCCAAACAAAAACATGGCATCAACTCATGAAATCCCTGACAGTTAAACTGAGTCAGGTAGGGAGGGAGATGCAGACTTCCGGATTGGGGCCCGCCCTCGGGACTCTAAGAATCAATGGCTGGCGACAATAGGTGACATGGCTCAAAATCGTTGTCAATGGCTTACGCAGATGTATTCAGTTTCTGTAATCTTTCATATTCCTTTCAACCATTACTCATTCTGTTTCACTTTTATACTTGCCAAAACTCTATTGATTCTCTTCACTCATTTTCTTGTCTACCACCTTTGTGTGCTATTTGGAACGTGGCAACTCGAACTGCTGCACTTCGGTGCCACGTTCTCTGTTGAATCCAGACAGGCAGACAGTTAGATAAGGAGGGAAAATCAATCGATGAGATTGTGAAGGTATATCGTTTGAGTTTCCTAGGATGACATGTGTTACGTATGCATAACTAGCCATCGCCTTCCTCCAAGGTCAATGTTAGCTGACATAAGATGGATCAGGTTAGAAAAGTGTTAGGGGAGAGGGGTTCTGCTCGAACCGAAAATTGGAATCAGTCCACCAAATCCTTGACAGTTAGAGTCAGCCAAGTATGGAGGTGTGGACAACCTGACTGGCTGGTTGGAGTCCTCAGGATCCTTAGAACCAGTGGCCCAGAGACAATTGGTGATATATATGACTGAAAATCGTTCTGTGAGTGGTGAAGATGCATCCACATTATCTAGACATGCTCATGAACACCTCCACCATCATCAGTATGGTTGTCGAATAACAACCACTCAGAAACCCAATTCTGGAGCACATTATTACATCTTATCATACAGTGGACTTCATTTAGCCTTCTCGTTATATATATTATCTTTTTCTATAGTTTGGTTTGTAAGGGTTAGTTATGTTTTTACGAGTTGATCACGGATTGATATCAGTTAGAGAACCATTGAAAACCAGGGAGTACTGGACAGCTGTTACATCCTAGTTTGAGAATCATCTGCAGTACGCATCCGCTGGGATTCGAACCCAGGACCCACCGGTTACAAGACAAGCTCGTATACCATTCCGCCACTGGGACCTGATTCAATGGCTCATGAATCCTAACTTTTACCAATTCGTGATTTAGCGCGACTTGCTACAGGATGGAGCTTCCTGGAGTTCTAGTGAGAAGTCGTGACCAATGAGGTCCAATTAGATGTCACGTGTGTGGATGGATGTCCCACCAACGACAATGGTTGGGGTCGCGCTAAATCAGTGGGTGCGTACTACCAATGATTCCCAAAGTAGAATCAAACAGCTGTCCAGTACTCCCTGGTTTTCAATGGTTCTCTAACTGACATCAATCCGTGATCAACTCGTAAAAATATTTATTATCGTAAGATAAACCCAGTGAAAAGGATTTCTCCAGACATTTCCTTCATTCCTCAGCTGAAGTTCTAGTCATCCAAACGGCAAAAAAAATTCACAACTTTCTATTCAAAAGCGTTTTATTCAAACATACATGACCACCTCAGTGTCAAATTTATTTTATTGATTTGTTGCATAATAAAGTCTACGTGATTCCTTTTCGGTGAGTACAACTCAGTTTCAACCATCTCCAAATAACTATTCACTGTTTAACTGAGTTGTTGTTCGTCTTATCGATTACGTAATAATAGTCACTATAATCATTATTTTTCTTACATTACGACTACTCAGACATCAATTCGATTTATCTTTATTATTACTACCATTACTGAGCGTCAAAATGACCTTTGACCTTTGTTGACGAATCACGTTGTCTTTCTTGAATTGTATGTGAACACAATTGACACAATAATGAGTACGTTTCAAATGTGATGAAAAACTGAAGAAGAAAAAACAGTTAGAGAAGCAACTCTTGAAAAATAAATTTTGGTGCTCACAAGTCATATACTACAGGATAAAGTTGCCTGGAGTTTTCTAGTAAGAAGTGTTGACTAGCCAGGGTCCACTAAGTGGTCCACTAACCAGTTAGTTAGTGAAATCCACAACAGTTAGCTTAAGCCACGTAGGAAGATGTACACTTCCTGGTTGGGGTCCACGGGACGGTTAAAACCAATGGTTGGAAACAATTGGTGACATGGCTCAAAGTGATCGTTCTCAATGGTGCAGATGCATCCACTCCTTGTGACTTATGATTTCCGATGAAACTGTTTTGTTCTTCGTTATTACTATTCCTTTGTCTCACACCTCTGTTTACTGTCTCCAACATGCATTTCTTCTACTTTCTTCTCTTGCTTTGTATGCTACAAGAAGGGAGTGTGGCGACTTGAACTACCGCACATATGTGCAAAGTTCTATGTCGAAGACCGACCGACCGACTAAGTGGGATGTGAGGACAAATACTGATGGATGACATTTGTCTGACGGTCACTGTTCACGTATTTATCGCAAGTTGACAGACGTCACAATCGATGAGACATTGGATTCCACTAGTCCAAGTGGCTGCTGAATAGTGAACGAGGTCGTCTGGTAACCTGAGGGATCTGGATTTGATCTCTGGAATTGGGGTCACAAGTATGTACTGATGAAGAGTCTCAAACTAGGACGGAACAAATATTCAGCATCTCTAGGTTTTCAACCGTTTCATTAACTGAAGTCAATTCATGATTAAACCTGTAACTAATCAGGTCCCTGCAAGTGTATTAATTGTTAGAA